GGTTTTAGCGCCGCATGTCTTATGTTCCAGGAAACCCCTCAGTCCCAGCAAACCGAAATGTCAGTCACCCTATCTCCCTTTAAGACTAAAAAGACAAAATTACACATTTTCCCCCAATACTTTTATTTATTTATTTTTTTATATTTAAATCTTTATTTTATTTTATTTTGGTATGAGAAAGCTCGCTTCAGCAGCACATATATTTTGGTATGAGAAATGTGATAGGAATCTGATTTTATCTTTTTTCCCCACATGGCCAGCTAGTTCTCCTACATTTATCAATGATATAAATTATCATCCTTCCCTTTATAAATTTGAGTGACGGCTGGTCTCAGATACTAAATTCCCATATGTGTAGATGAAGCAACTGAGGTTTAGAGAGTAACCTGTGTACGATTACAGGGGTAATAAAGGGAAGAGCCAAAATATCAGTCAATTTTCTTACTTTGATTTTTTTTTTCTGTATTTGTCCCTGCTAAAACTTCGGGTTTCCACCAAAAATTTTGTTTATTGAGTGCCTAATTGGGTGTTGTCTGCTATTAAATCGGTGACTTTAAAAATAAAAATATTTCATAAACTGTAAGAATAAAACATATTCTGTTATCAGTGGTTCAAATTCTGTTAAAAAGTGTTAAAAATAAAAAAGTACTAATTTTTACTTCTTGTATTTCTTTGTACTTATTTGAATTTTCTTTTATATTCACATACATGCTATATATTTCAGAATTACAATATTAATAAATTTTAAAGAATAATTATACAGTGAATACCTATGTAAGTTAAGAAACAGTATTGCCGGTTCCTCCACAATTATATCCCCCAAACTCTACTCTAAAGGTAGCCATTATTGTTTGGAGCAAGATGGCGACGGGTCTGGAGTGAGCGTGCCAGAGGACAGAGCGAGCCTGAGAAGTGTGTGCTGTGCTGCCAGAGTACGATTTGCATTTCCAAGAGCAACAAAAAACAAATAAATCACTGATCAACTAATCTACAACGAATAAAAGCAACTACAGTCTCAACGTTTTAGGGCTGATGCAAAAGAAGATTCCTGAGAGCACCACAACCGCAGCGGGAGACCGAGCAGCCCAAGGCAACAAAGGCCAGGAAAGACGGCAGTGGCAATGCAGAGANGACAAAAAAAAAAAAAAAAAAAAAAAGATTGTTACAGCTCTTGGCATGTGCCAGGCACTGATCCGAGCACCGTTCATGATATGAACCCACTCAATTCTCACCTCATCTCTAGGGGGAATGGACCATGGTCATCTTCATTTTAGAGGTGGGAAAACGATGGCACAGGACACTAGGTAACTTTCCCAACATCCCACAGCTGCTGCACATGCAGGACCAGCTTCCATACCCGGCCACCTGCCTCAGAGCCCAAGATCACCCTGCTCCGGTTTATGGCAGGGCAGGAAGAACGCAGGTTGGGTCCCCAGAGAGGTGGCAAGAATCTTGGCTCCGCCTCACAGCTCTGTGCCCTTTGGCCACTCGCTGAACCTCTCTGGGGCCATTTTTCTCTAAATGGAGATTTAAATGCAAGTATCCAGCTCTCTGGGACTGGCGGGAGGAGTTCAGGTCACGTAGGTCAAACACTCAGCCCCGTGCTTGGCACGTACGAGTGCGAGATGCATGGCAGCTGCTACGATGGAGATGAGGGCGAGGAGGAGGAGAATGCAGGCACCCGTTACCTGCTCTTGCCTATATTTCTGGCCTCCGCACTTGGCTTAGGTGAGCCAATCTGTCACGGCAGCCAAGGGTGAGAAGGCCTCAGTCACCCATGGTCCCCAGGCAGGGGCTTTTCCCTATGCCCTCCCGTTCCTCTGACGGCCCTTTCCTTGATCTCAACAGTCCCCAAAGCCTCCAGTGCAAGGGGCTCCATAAGCAAGTCCATTTCAGGCAAGGCCGTCATTTGGGCCTGTAAATCAATAGGCTTTCCATGGCCATTTGTGGAATCAAAGGTATCGTCAGCTCCAGATAAGGCATCGTGCCAGAGAAACCAGGGGGCAGGAGTTATCATCTCCAGTCACGAGCAGGAAAATCCATGTCTCCTCCTTGGCCCTAGTGCTGGTGTCACTGAGGACTGCCTGCCCAGTTGGTCCCCTGCATGAATCAACATGTGGCAAGTGGCTATAGCTGCTGTGAGTGTGTGTGTGTGTGTGTATGGAGAGAGATTTGTTGTGTGTGTGTGTATGTTTTTTTTACTTGTGTTTGTGTGTGTGTTTTTTCCAAGAGGCCATCAGCATTCTGCCAGCGTCCTGAGAAATTCATCAAATTATTTAACCTTTGCTGGAATAAATAATACATGTGCTTTCTCAGGATTTATTCTGATTAAGCTGTTCTGGAGTGGTGCCAGCCCTGAGCCCGCCCCAGGAAAGGCAGGAAGGTGGCTGGTGGCATAGGATGGGAAATCAGGAGGCCAGCTGAGGGCTGGCGGGGGGGGGGGGGGCGGGGGGGGGGGGGGGGGGGAGGGGGCCGATGAGGCTGGAGGTCCCTTGTAGCAGAGAGGGACCCTGTGGGCCCCTCCAGGTTGATGGGTTGCAGATGAGGAAGGTGAACTCCGCCAACCACCAGCTCCCCACCTGTAGGCTGTCTGGCTCCATCTGGGCAGGAGGTGGGAGGTGCAGGGGACAGAGCTGGGCTTGGGGTTCAGAGACATGGCTCAGACCATTGAGTGACTGTCTGCATGTCCAGGAGGCTGAGAGCTGGGTAGTCCTAGGTTTGAATCCCTGCTCTTCTCTGGCTTCCACAAGAACTTACCCAGATGCTGCCTGTGAAGCCTGGCATCTGTCACAGAGTGCTCAATAATGATTAGGTTGGAACATACTAAACTGCTGATAGGTGGCCAGTTTAACCAACAAAAGGACCATTTCCTATAGTTCAATCTATACCTGCACGTAGTGATGATGGTCATGAGCACTGACACTGAGAGCTTGCTATGTGCTCTAGTCTATACGCTTTCAACAAATAACCTTCTGTAAATTTCAGTCCTAGGGCCAGCCCGTGGCTCACTTGGGAGGATGTGCTGCTGATCACACCAGGGGCACGGGTTCGGATCCCTATATAGGGATGGCCAATTGGCTCACTTGGGAGAGTGTAGTGCTGACAACACCAAGTCAAGGGTCGCTTTACCGGTCATCTTTAAAGAAAAAAAAAAGGGGGGGGGG